GATGAGTGGATACGGAAATTGTGGTATATCTACACAATGGAATGCTACTCAGCTATAAAAACGAATGAAATACTGCCATTTGCAACAACCTGGATGGACCTTGAGAGAATTAAGTGAAACAAGTCAGGCACAGAAAGAGAAATACAACATGTTCTCACGTATTGGTGGGAGCTAAAAATATATAAATAAATTCACACACACACACACACAAACCGGGGGGTGGGGAAAGAAGACATAACAACTACAATTCCTTGAAATAAATAAATTCACACACACACACACAAACCGGGGGGTGGGGAAAGAAGACATAACAACTACAATTCCTTGAAGTTGGTACGACAAGCAAACAGAAAGGACATTGTTGGGGGGGAAGGGGGGAGGGAGAAGAGAGAGGGAGGTTTCGGTAATGGGGAACAATAATCAACCACATTGTATATCGGATAAAAATAAAAAATAAATTAAAAAAAAATCACTGTTAGCATAAAAAGTATTGAGTGGTAACCACCTTGTTCATGCATAGATCAGTTAGCCTGTAGAGATAAGCCTTTATTATTTGAAATGACACTCAACCCAGCAGGAATAAAAATTTGTGTAGCAGCGAAGCGAAAATTTGTTTTAGTTTACTGATCAGAAAATAAAAGAATACTGTATACACATGGTGACTAGTTTTTCCACCTATCCTTGACAATGCAAAGAAAAGTGGAAGTGGTTGGTGGATGGGACGGGGAGCACAGAGGCATTAGCCACAAAGGCTGGCAGCTGAGAGCAGCAGGCCTCTTTGGTCAGGTACAGGGAGATAATGGAAAGTTCCCATAGCCAGCTCTGTGGTGTGAGGTATGGTAGTGTAGCTATTAAGAATGTAGGCTTGTAGCTACCCTGGTTCTACTACTTTCTGGCTCTCTAGTTTAGGGAAACTTTCTTAACTTTTCTAAATAAACCTCTGTTTCCTCATCTATAAAGTGGAAATAACTGTCTTGCAGAGTTGTGAGGATTAAATGAAATGACTTATGTAAAGAACTTAGCAGCATGCCTAGCTCAGCAGATGGTAGGTAGAAGGCTAGCAC